AACCTCTTTGGACGTGCGTATGTACAGTCGTTGGAAGAAATACGGTGACGTCCTAAATTATACGATCTATATAAAGCGAATTGAAGGGAACAATATTTTTAGGAAGGAAATAATTTAAGAATGAGAAGATCAAGTCTCCGCTTCTCTCAGAATGTAAATCACACTTTTTCTCTTTCGAGAAAAACAACAAGGAGAACGGAATAATTTAAGAGATCGAGGGGAATTTTTTCGCGAGACATTTTTAGCGGTTAAAAGCCTCCGTCGCCGGTATTCGAACAACAAAGTCAGATGGCGGAGGGGAGGGCGTTCCAAAAATGCGGTGATAGAGGCGCGCGCGGTCCTGAAATAGTTCCTCGGGTACGTCGAACTTTAAGTACAGTACATAAAGGCACGTGCACAATGCCGGCCACTCGATACCGCTCGGCCGTGCGTGTTACGATTGCGGTCAGCGCTCACGTAACAGCCCGACCGACCGCTGATACCGTTATCGGGCCGGCACAGGCACTTCGAACCGGTCTCCGATTTCGTTTCCCGCTCATTATGCAATTGGCCCGCGATAACGCGACCGCCAACCGAAAAACAAAAAGGGGAACACAGCCGACGATACCTCCTCCTCCCTCTTTGTCCCTGTTATTCCTGCACGGTTTTCATTGTTCACGCCCCGATACGCTGCTTTACGCATCCTGTTAATACACGGTTTTTGGGAACGTTTTATGCCAACACGTTGATATATATGTACATATATATAACGCATTAGCGTTACCCGATGTATATACACCACGGGGTGGTTATTCGGTCGGACAATGTTTTGGGAACGTTGGAAAACTGCGACTTCATGTCTCGGCAATGCCATACTAGTAGTAGCATTATGAAAAACATCTTTATCTGTGGTGTACATCGGGTAATGATAATGCCTAAAAATTTTCCCATTTAAAAACTTAAACACGACCCTTTACAGGGCTTTTCAAGGTCGTTGCAAGGTTAAAAGTATAGCAGAACAATATGTCGCCCTTTATACCCTGCAACTTTCGTCCGGAACATTTTTTTGTATCATTCGTAGTTTTCGAGATACGTACTTCCGTGTCTGAGATAAACCAGCATACTGTGTACAGTATATGTACATGTACGTATAAACGAATAGATACAGTTAAATGAAACGGTTACACGGTAACGGTGGTAAATACAACACGGTTCTAAAGATAAATAAATATTAATGTAACGATCTTGAAATATTTAAACGAAATAGAGGTTAGTGTACACAAGGTGTGACGTAACACAGGAGCCTGGGAAATTATACAATGGCCAGATAAACGAGCATCGAACCGAAAGTCGGACGTTAATCGATTCAATAAGTCGGCTCGTTTATCTTTTGAATAGAGGCTACAAACTTATGTAATAAATCGTGTTATACGTGGTAATGTTCTTATTCGTGAAAACGACGCGAACAGTGCTATTATTTCATTTCACCAGGGAAAATCATCCACGGTTCTATACTGTATATGTTGATTAAGTTTCGACTATTTTTATTCGTGATAATTCCAATGGATAAAGCACTCGCGACGATAGTTGCTTTTGTTATCAATCATCGGCAAACAATGAAGGAATCGTGAGCAGATAAAAATAGCTACGACGTACGGAGACACAATGTCAAAGTACAAAGGGTATTCGTGCCGCGTCACCCGCGTCGTAAATTGCCGATTATCTGAATTTTCACGCGGTCCACGTGAGCCGTGTTCGTAGCACGTCGACACGTGACCCATGAGTAACGTGTCGACTGCTCGCGAATATGCTTCCCTGCCGAACTGGTTACGTAACAAACACGTGGATCAGATATATATCAGCGAACGCTTGGCTTATACATTTCCTGACGGCGATCTCGTTAGCGACATATCAGTAAAACAATTCTCTGAAAAGAATGACTGAGTTTATGAATTTTTTGTATTAAAAAAAATTCGTTCAAATTGCAAATTTTCACGAAATGAATAAAAGCCAAGAATAACTGAAAGAGAATTTTCCGACAACTCCTGTAATATATATATGTGGAATACGATAGGAGAGCGTTCGAGTGGGCGTTTCGACTGATAAACAATGCGAGCCCGGCTTAAGAAATGGCGGTGCGCGATGCGTGATGCAACTGGTGCGGCGCGGCGCATAGAAATGCTCGCGCAATTCGCGCAACGCGCGCTCTAGCCTTTCCTCCGTGCTGCTCTCCCGCCGCCACGTGACTCCTACACGTGCACGCCGTGTTATGCTAGACCATTCACCTTCGTTGCATAATAGAAACGCGAAAAGGTCATCGGGAACAACGGGCCCTGATATTTCCTAATATGATTGATAAATCTCACGAGTCCGATCACGTCTCACCGTTATATTCCTTAAAAGTGAATTGTTGAACACATTTTCAACGTTTACACGGGAATATCGTGGAAATTTTCGGCGTTTCGTAATGTTACAAAAATGTTGCAATTATTACCTGACTAAACGCGGTTATCACTGGTTATGAAAATTTTCTTCGAGTTGCAGTGGTGATCGATGAACGACCGGTGACGCAATGCACAATCTGCAATGTCCTGAGACGGTTGGCACACTTATGTATATACACAACAGAATAGTATACGCTTGGTTATATATCGTGTCCGTTGCGCGCGGAACAGACACACCAGAAACCGTATCGACAGGGGAATAGTACGCCAGACGCGACACGTAGCTGGCTATGCACACGCTGGTACTGCGCTCGCACGCCTCTATGCACGCGAATATAATACGTACGCGCGTCATGCATTTCCGCGAACCGTAGATACCGCTAATCCGGATTGATGTGACACCAAACAATCTAGATCGACCGCTCAAGATAACGAGCGCGTACAATGCGCGTTATGCGGACCAGCTAAGTCCGTCCGCTTGTCGACTGACCTCATAGATATCGTTCAATATTTTCATCGAGTCGTAGTACGGCGGCGACATTTTACGCAGTTTCAACAACGAAATATACATATCGACGGTAATGACCCCCAAATTCTGCGGATTGCGTCACTCGTATCGATAAACTGTTGACAAGAAGACGTACACGTGTAGAAACGTCGGTAAGATCGGTATGGCGTCGATAACGCAACTACGTGCAACAGGGTGCAATGTACACATTCAAGTCCTTAATGTTTCGATGTATGTTTAGAAGTTTTACTGGTTTTTATTACACGATTTTAAACGTTCACGTATACAATTAATACTAGCGATTAAGCACGTTTTCTAATTTCCATTTTGGTATCTTGTTTAATCCAAATTTATCGATATTTGCCCGATAACATCGGCCTCCTGCATTATCAATATTCACCGATAACAGTGCAGCACAGCCAAATTTATACCAGTCATTAACGATCGTAAAACCGAGCTAATAAATCAAAATCGATGAAATTTATATCGGACGCCATTTCGACATTATCCTCCCTGATAATTTCGAGCACGAAGAAAATCGTTCGAATACTTTTATACATTTCCACCGCCACCCTCTCATTCGTGACCGCCTTTTAAACTGACCGAGCAGAAGCCAGCCAGCGTGTGTATCTTGGTACACGTGCGTGCCCTTCGCTCAGAGTCCGTGAAGCTTATTGCACACATGCTTTACGCTACGACGAGGTTGAGAGTTCTGCAAATTAGGCCGTGGCCCACTTCGAGCCACGATAGAGAGAAGGTGGCGGCCGCTGCGAGAGGAGAGTAGTGGGATCGATGGTGGATGGGGGGATATACAGAGCGCGAAACACCAACGATGAAGGGGAGGGGGAGCGAGTACAGTTCCCGTTTCGAGCGAGGATCGCGATTGATCAACGACGTCTTCGACGTGACGCGTCCCACGTGGGATCAAGAAGTTATTTCTATCTCATATATTTTTTTTTCAATTCTAATGTATAGACGTTGAAGCATCACCAATGACGAATCAATTTCAGTCCTATTTCTCATTTTTCACCAAAGATATTTTCACTCGTTCCCAGTTATCTCTAACTCGTGTAGATCGTGAAAGAAATATTTTCTTAGTTAATTATCAGAATTTCTGTAAGTTAGAAATAATATTTCGAATGGATATTTTATATTTTCCGAACGGGCGCGTCCGTTAAAGTTCGTCCAGCTCGACTCTCCGCGGCAAGCATAGATAAGGATCAGAGTCCTCTTCGCTTCGTCACGAATGACGCAACGACCGCTGCCGCGTTGCTCACGCGTTGCACGAGACTTTCGTAAGCGCGCGGAGCCTTCTCTCGCTTCGCTCGTTGAGCCACTCCGATTGAACCATAGTCGCGCACAATATTCCTCAAGTCACACGATAATCCCTCTATCTATTTTTCCACTTGTCATTTGACCAAATAACATTTTCTCGTCTTTTTCTGTATTTTTCACTTTCCTTTATTATTCGAGCGATCGTGCACAGCTCATGATTCAGGTGCAGATAACGGAGATAAGATAGCTGATCGTAACGAAAACAATGGGTGCACGGGGTTTATTGCGCTCGCAGATTGTAGTTAGACGTTGCGTCACCTGAATCGCTCTCGAAGGTCAGAGTCTCCGGGTATTCAGGGTCGTTTCGTAAATATCACCGCCGAAAATCGGTACGATCGTGATCGATCTCGAATTTATTGTTGCACAGATCGTCGAAGAAGATTCGCGTCACGTTCACCGACGAAAGTTCAACGAATCACGGTGCCTTATTATTTGCTATTACCATTTATGTTAGTTCTACGAAACGGAAAATCGACTCCACTTGAGCACGCACACCAGCGATAGTTATGTTCGCGAGAGTGTTTAGTTCAAAGTCCTAACGCGTGACAAATCGGCACAACAGATAACGTTCTATTTTACAAATTGTTATAAAGCCATTTAGCACAAGTTGAAACAACGGTCGACGGGTATCGAGTTGATTAGCACACCTGTGTTTTCTCGAAGAATCGTTTTGGGATTTTTTTCACGAGGCGGAGAGAAAAGTCGATGAAATATGGAAGATTGCGATTACTCACCAATTTTGAAAGATTCTGTCGTACACGAACGAACGACGGAACAGCGATCCACTTTGCTCCGCTTGTCGAGAATTGACGAAGGCAGACGGTGCGCCGCACTCGTCGATTGGCAAACGGTCAAGCGTAGTACAGTTTATCCGCGAGCCACGGAGATAGTCACTGGCCGAGCGCGGCGAGGTATCCCGTTCGTCGAACCAACGTAACGAGAGTCACCGTCATAATAACGCCTGTTATCGCGGCTCGCGATCGGAAACCGTTCTCCCTCTGTCCACCGGTGGTATAAATCCAGCAAATCCCACCGGAGAGCAGAGACGGTTCTTACGTGTCGCGTCACACCAAACGTACAATATATCAGAAAATATCAGAAGTCTCCTTGTCTATTCCCCGATACGAAATCGGTATTTCTTTCCGTGCGGAAAGAAAGAAGGCACACGATGGGGAAAATGAAACGAATAGCACTTGAGAGCGCGAACGTTGTAATAAATACGCTCGGAATCACGGTTGAACTTGAACTGTATTTTATGGGCGCAGGTGACAGTAGGCTGCGCGCAACGACGTATACTGTGTTGTAGTTCCTTGTAGATCGTCCCACGATCCACACGAGAGCAGACAGTAGAACAAGAGAGAGTGTTCCGCGACAGTAGACGTACGTCCACTCACTACGGTGTCGGCCTGCAAACTGACTGCACGCTGCGTGAGACTCGCGACTGCCGTCTTGGCCCCAATGTCGTCTGGCTTCGAGTTTGATGCGAGAAGGCTGACGCAGTCATGTGTGTCGGTGTGTACGTGATCGTGTCTGCCGGCGGTCCGCTTCGATCGTGGTAGTGACGGGGTGGCCGCGCGGTGGGGGGACGACGGCAGGTCCACCCGCCGGGGGGGAAGTTTATGCCTGGTTTATGCTCGGTTTATGTGCACTCCCCACCATCGTGCTCACGCGCACACACTGCCAGCCCGTTCTGCGTCAGAGTCCCGACCGCTCCCCCCACCTTCATCGCGTCAACCTCACCCCCACCGCGCCATCATAGTGGTAGGTGCACCGCGTCAGATCTTTCGGCGTGTACGCGCGATTAGATTGCGTCGCGCGGCGACGCCGAGCGCTTCGCTGTGGATACTCTCTCTCTTCTGGATCGTAATACATACAACGTTGCTCCTTTCTTTGTTTTCTTTTTTACGTTTCAGAGTTTTTTACGTCACTTTACGTAAGGGTTCTTCATCGTTTCGTTTTATCGTTAGGCTTGAACTTTTTCAACGTGACAAAATAATTGCTTCTCTTTTTTTTTTCCTTTGCCTTTAAATCCGTTTGGATCAATTGAGGATTTTTTCGGAGTGTTAAGAGGAGAAAGGTTAATTTTCATCGCATTACTAGATAGGATAGAGAGATAGATTACATGGTGTTTTACGGAATGAAAAAAAAAACAAAGATTGAACGGAACGAGCTGGCGAGCGCCGGAGTTGGTTACAAGGACCCTCCACCTCTCGCTCTCCACCGGCGTCCTCAGCAAAACCGAATGCCAGACAACGAGGGCATCAGCCCCCATGAATCACCGGCGGTCACCTTCACTTTTTATGCAAGTTTGTTCTCACCCGGCCTCGCCGGTTGAACGAATCCTCGTGGCTCAGGACACGGGATCGATACGGAAATTTGCATTCTGGTCGGAAATTACCTCGTTAACTAGGGGTGACGAGTTAACACGTCATTGGGAAATGATGCAGTGGTTAATTAATTCGTCGTGAAATTTTTTACTCTCCTTGTGGTTTCGAATGTCTCTTGTATCATCTTCTGTTTAACCCTTACGTCAATAGCCGAAATGTATAACGTTGTTCAATACACGGGGTACCCGAGTGCCCACTTACAGAATTCGTCTAATCAACGCAATTTGTCACGGGTAAGTCTTAATTTTACAAATTTGTACACGTTAATTGTTGTCTAGAAGAAAGTTTGAAACTTGTTTTCCAAATATATAAACAGACTTTACTATTAATTCCAACGGATATCGATTTCTTAAACACAATGGTCGTCGTGGAACCTCTCGACAAACGGTGCAAGTTAGAAGATCCTACTTCAATGTATATGGTACAAAATATGGTGGACCTGTGTTGCGGGAAATGCCTACCCACTAAATGGTTCAATTTATACTAGGAACAGAGGAAATGCACGTGAAGCCAACCAGGGCGAAAGAGTGGTGAAAGAACTTGCGGCAAATTATAAAAGATCTGGATGAATTATTTGCATGGACAATTTTTTCGCATTTTTACCCCTAGCTACACATCTGCTTCCTTGGAGGTTGGAAAATAAGGCCTACATTCCTAGAACAATTGCTCCTTCCAGAACGAGAGAGGAATTGTCAACGATATTTGGATTCCACGAAAAAGTAACTCTTTGCTCTTATGTGCCGAGAAAACATAACGCAGTCATCGTGCTCAGCACAAATGATGCTAAGAAGAATCCAAACATTAGACTTTATTACAATAAATGCAAAAGTGGAGTTGACACCATGGACCAAGCGTTACAGAGCAAGAATGAAAAAAACCCAGAAAAACTAGAAAATCTTGTACCGCATGCGGTAACAATTACCAAATGTAAAAGATGCGTTTGAATAAATAATAATTATTATTGTTTAGACACTGGTTGGTGTTTAGGCATCTGTATTTCATAGGCATATACATCTCATATTTCTACAAGTGGGCACCCGGGTACCCCTGGTATTGAGAACGACTATGTGAACTTTGACTCAAAAATTTGTTTAGCTTAAAGGCGAAATAAAAAAAATATGGAAAAGATATTTAGGCTTCTAAAAGGTTTAAAACGCGACGATCTAGACGGTTCCTGAAAAATTTTCCCAAAATGTATTCAGGTGGGCAGTTGGGAATCCGGGCATTGATGCGAGTAAATGCGAAACACATAACAGCGTCATAATATGCATAAATAAATTCATAAACATTTACAATTGTTTCTTTTTAAAAGTTTCACTATAAAAGTGTGCCGGAGTTGCTGGTTAGAGTGCAAAGGGGTTAATATTTTTCGATCGAATTATCTATTTATTTCTTCAAAGTATACAGGACGAATAATCGATTCGCGGATGTATTTCGACATTTTAAAATGACTTCTCTTCGGTCGATATTTGTCCAGCAAAATAAGATGCACTTTAATTCAAACACTGTACAAAAAATCCTTGCAAATAGTGTGCATGAAAGAAAGAAGGAATAGTAGCGTCAATTTATCAGCAGAAGTTGTAACTGGTTTGAAAAATTTTTTTTCCACTACCTGCAGCTCTTTCCTCAAAATACGATTCAGAGAACAAGAGGCTAGAGTTATTCCGTTGCGAAAACACGGTCGTGTCGTTGCGATAAATCACGCGCCGCTTTTCAGCCGCGATTCGACACCGCGATTTGCATAGATCGCTTATATGCATAATGATCGTCGGTGGCGCGCGCTTATGGCCGGCGAATTTGGAATTTCAAGGACGCCGCGGGACGTGCATCGCCTGGATATCCGGCGCGCGTGCCCTCATCAACTACAGTTTCCTCTGCAACACGCGTTTCTTTTCTTTTTCTCAAAACAACGTCGTTCGATAAAAATAAGAGAAAAAGAGAGAAGAAACTCGACGCCAATTCGATCGATTGGGTCGATGCCAGTCTGTATAGTACGAAAAAGCTCGTTTCAAGATTGAGAACATGGCAAACGAACACGCTCGAAATGTAACCATTCAACGCGTTTCCTCTTGTTAGAGGGAACATAACGACGATCACGAGTTCGCCATTCCCTGAATACAATATTTATTTCTATTATACAACGGCGTAATGCGCTTATGGCTGCGGGAATGCGCAATAAACTATTTCTAAACGCGGGCTTCTTCGTCTTTCGGGAACTTGGTCGGCACGTGCGCTTGTGTACCATCGAAATTAGGCGAAGTTCGATGTAACGCGGTAATTTCGACGTTTATTATGTTAGTGAGATGGTTTCAGTGGAATTTTTCGCCCATTTGTAGAATATAACTCGAGCCATCTTTTATACACTACCGTTTATAAGTATCTGCCTATATACGTACTTGTTTATCTTTATTTATCGCTGTGATACATTTTTCAAAAGAATTATTTTGAAATTTTTTTTTAAATAAGGATCACAAAACAAGTTGTATCATTGGTTTCTTCCTCGGAAACTGGTTCAATAAGGTTGTTTACTGGAATAAAGAAGAGGATGAAGAAATGGGTGGGCCAAAATAACAATGTTTTCTAAATTCGAAAGAAAAATTTTCAAATAGATAATAAAAAAAAGTTTATTCGATATTTTAAAGGTAAAGCGATTTATGGGCCACCCTGTATATGGAAATGATAGCGTGGGTACAGTTTTGGACGATTTTAGTGGAATTTTTGGTGAATTCGTAGTACTATTTTTGATTCAAGCGGTGAGGTGTAATAGAGACACTCTTACGTCAATTATGCAATGTTCATTTAAACCCGAAAATTTGTCACGTAATACTAATAGTCGTAGCCGCTGAATTATTCGAGCGGGCGATCTTCCAGTTATTTGTGACCGCGTATTTACTCTGTTCATGCTTCTTTGCACTATTCGGTGTAATCTTTTGCAAACCCGTTACGTCTTCCAGAAATAGGCAACGCCAGGGGTTGTGGTTTAAATATATACATGGTGCATAGAACGGAGTAATCACGAAGGGCTGAAATTCAGCTAAAAATACACGAAAAGAAATGTTCTCGTATATAATCGTACACTCTCTGCCATACTTTCGAATTATTGGAAAAAATGTTGATCACAAGAATTTTGAATACCTCTTCTATCATATATGAATAAATTAATTTTTTTATTTTCTTCACTTGGCTTGCAATTTTATGACATCGTTCGTGCTCAAAGGGTTAGATCTTGCCTTACTATTTCTAATCACCCTTCTGGAGCAGGTTATAGACAAGATATAAGAAAAGAATTCTCTATTTTTGTAATAAACTTTTTTCAGATACTGGTATTTATGGATTTTTATTAAAAACTTTTTAGAAAATCATAGAATTTGCGTTTACACACGATTAAGAACCGGCTATTTCAAAATTACACACGAATGTACCTATAGGTACACAGTGAGAAAACAGGACCACTTTATTGCTCAACCATCTTCTCTACGAATGCAGAAAATTTCAAGTACAAAGGCGAAAGCTTGCCGTAAATTTAGAAAGCCATTAAACTTCTGAAAGACATAAAGCTGTATTTTAAAAATGTCATGTCTGACAGTAATATATTAAATTCAGACGGTGAAACGAAAAATCGTTTATCAGCCTATCCATGAGCCGACGATCTCAATTATTCCTCTGATAAATTAATTGTCGAATTCTCGTGATAC